TGACCTGAAGTCCGACAGGCAGGTCACCAACTCCCTGAAAAATAAATAAGAGACACCTCATTGGCATGGCCGGTGTCCTGTCGATTTGAGCTACCCGTCGTTTTGAGCTGCACAGCACTACTGCGCCTGCGCCCCCCAAACGCTGTTCCAGTGTAAATGCCGTCGATTTGAACTTCCCAGGCACAAGTGGAGTCACATTTTAAAAGTCTTTTGGTTTGATTGTATGTTTTGACCAGTTGTGTGTGTAAACGTGTGTGTGTTAGATTTGTGGAGGAACAACTTCGTCAGGCTGCAGGTAGCTCATTTCGACGGGGCAGCCCATTTTGACAGAACACTGTAAAACACTCTCGCTGCTCTGTGAGAGTTGAACCCTCAGACTCTTCAAGGTTTTCAGTGAAGGCCCAAAAAAAAATATTGAATTCATTTTTGTACTATTAATATAATTTTTCTATATTTTTTAGTCAGTGAGAAATAAACTCGACACTAATAATCATTTCTAGATCTTTGTTTTAAACTTGGACTGGGCCCAGTCAAGCAGAAGTAAACAACAAGACCAAAACTTCAAGGTTAATTCATGTGATATAAAAGTGTATTGAACAGATACATATTTACTCTAGTTTATCAAACTGTTGACCTTTTTTCTGTTCCATTTTTGGTTCTAAAGTTCCATCTGTTTTAAACAGACCATGAATGAAACATGGAACAAAAATTATTTCCCAAATTTCAAAGACCTGAAAATCATGTAAATAAATGTTTGTATTTCATCATATCTTGTGTTATTCCATCTTTGAACTGTTGATGAAGGGACAGGATTAAAAAAAAAAAAAAAAAGTATTTAAAATGATAAAAATGTTCTTGGAAGGACTGACATATTTTATAGAAATAGTTTCTTTCATTTTGAAGTAATATTAAAGTTTTCAGAAGAAAAAGTGACAAATGATGTAAAATCCTGCACCTTCTACTTGTTTGTACAATTTTCCCTCCGTTACTTTTCCCTCCGTTACCATGAACTTTCTTAATAAAAAATCTCATGAGTCAAAAAGTCAGAGGTTTTTCAACCTAATCTTGTACCATATGGTAGAAAACTATATGAAGCAAATATTCAAACCAGTTTGTTAAGGATATGGAAGTGAGAACCAAGAGTTATCACTGTTTGGATTTATTGACCAAAAAGTGCTGCATATTTCATTCCCTCCGTTACCGACATGAGTTTTTTATTTTTTTGTCTTGAACTTGAAAGAATCTCACAGGTTTAACTTGACCCTGTTGGAGTGTAACTCTTTCCTACATTCTGATACTTTACTTATTTCAATAGTTCCTCTAGTTTCTGAAGAAGAGACATTTGAAAGTCAAAAATCTGCCCGTTTCCTCCGTTACCACTTGACTGGACTCATAGATTTTTCTTGAGAAACAAAGTGTTAATATAATGGAATGGAAATGGACCAATCACATTTTTCTTCCAGTGGTTTCTGGGTAAATTAGTGACTCCCCCCCAAAAACTGCGCTGGTTCTGTAAATGTTCTTATAAAGCATCGTTCCACTGGTGAAACACTGTTTCTTGTCGTGGTGATACGGGACAAAGTGCGTCTCTTTTCAGTTCAATACGGGACATGTACTTTTGTTTCTGAACACGTTGGCGACACCGTAGCAACAGGAGACAGGACCTTCTGGGTGAGTTTCAGTTTCACGGTGACCTCAGACGCTCCGACCGCAGGAACATGAACGCGGGTTTTTCTTGAGTTTTCAGATGATCCAGAGTGCGCTCGTGTTTGCGCTGTGTCTCCATGGTGTCTGCTGAACATTCCACCATAGACGTGCATGGAGAGCGCCCCCACGGTGATGTCAGTGTTTCCATAGATTCTGTTGAACGTCACCGCTCCACCTCTGCTCCGCCGTCAGCAGAGGGCGCTGTGATGCTCGTGTGTAAAGTACAAACTAAAGTGTGACAAACTCCGTTTAAACGACTGAACATGAACAACACAAAACCACAACACAACTGTGTGTGTGTGTGTGTGTGTGTGTAAATGTGTGTGTGTGTGTTTGTGTGTAAATGTGTGTGTGTGTTTAAATGTGTGTGTGTGTGTGTTTAAATGTGTGTGTGTGTGTGTGTTTGTGTGTGTGTTTAAGTGTGTGTGTGTGTGTGTGTTTGTGCATTCAGACTGACACAGGTTAAAGAGCACACTTTTATTCGGTCACATGGAGGTTAATGTGTATGTGTCTGTGTGTGTGTGTGTGTGTGTCGTGTGTGTGTGTGTCTGTGTGTGTGTGTCTGTGTGTGTGTGTGTGTGTGTGTGTGTCTGTGTGTGTGTGTGTGTGTCTGTGTGTGTTGGGGGGGGGGAGTTTCCTGTGATGACATCAGCAGAGGAATCCAGTTTTTCACCTCAAAGACACGTCTGGATCTTTTGTTTTGTACTTTTTTTTTTTTTTAACACACCGTCACTGAACTGACCCGGACTAAACCAGAACTAAACCAGAACTAAACCAGAACTAAACCAGAACTAAACCAGAACTAAACCAGGACTAAACCAGGACTAAAAAACCAGAACTAAACCAGGACTAAACCAGAACTAAACCAGAACTAAACCCGGACTAAACCAGGACTAAACCAGAACTAAACCAGAACTAAACCAGAACTAAACCAGGACTAAACCAGAACTAAACCAGAACTAACCCGGACTAAACCAGGACTAAACCAGAACTAAACCAGAACTAAACCAGGAACTAAACCAGGACTAAACCAGAACTAAACCAGGACTACTAAACCAGAACTAAACCCGGACTAAACCAGAACTAACCCGGAACTAAACGAGAACTAACCCGGACTAAACCAGAACTAAACCAGAACTAAACCAGAACTAAATCGGGACTAAACCAGGTCTAAACCAGGTCAAAACCAGAACTAAATCGGGACTAAACCAGGATTAAACCAGGACTAAACCAGGACTAAACCAGGTCTAAACCAGGACTAAACCAGAACTGAACTAGGACTAAACCAGGTCTAGACTGGGTCAGATTTAGACAAACATGTCCGTGTCAGATCCACACTGTTTTCACACATTTCAGTCTGTCGTGTTTTTGTGTTTTGTGTTTTTGGTGTTTTTGTGTTTTGGTGTTTTGGTGTTTTCGGCGGCTCGGGGGTCGGACAAAACCAAACCCGGGATTCCGCGGAGAGTCCGTGAGGAATCCCGCCGTATCCCGGGAGGCGATGACGTCATGAACGTTCCGAGGGTTTTCGTAGAGTTTTCTGATTCTGTACAACTTTTTACACCGTCGTCGTCTTTGAGTCCAGACCGCTCCAAAAACAGCCCCAGACACCCAGGCGAGACCCCCCCCCACCACCACCACCACCACCACCACCACCACGCCGTCCTGGAGCGGCAAAACCCTCCACTTTCACTTTCACTTTCCCGACGCTGAAACACAGAGTCGATTATAATCTCCAGTTTGTGTTTTTTTTTTTTTTTTTTTTTTTAATGATTGAAGACACTTTTTTTGTTTTTTTTTTGGACACGAACAAATGAAGAGACGACGAGCGACGAGACCTGGACCCGGACCTGGACCTGGACCCGGACCTGGACCTGGACCCGGACCCGGACCTGACCTGGACCTGGACCCGGACCTGGACCTGGACCCGGACCCGGACCCGGACCCGGACCCAGACCTGGACCTGGACCCTGACCCGGACCCGGACCTGGACCTGGACCCTCCGGACCCGGACCTGGACCTGGACCCGGACCTGGACCCGGACCTGGACCCGGTGTAGGTCTGGGCCTGGCAGGGCATCTGGACCCAGTTCACACGGCAGTTTTTTTTTCCTTTTTTGGTCAAATTTCTCTTTGTTTTCTTCACTCTGTCCATAAATCTGCTCTTCATCACTGTCCCTCCTCTTCATCACTGTCCCTCCTCTTCATCACTGTCCCTCCTCCTCTTCATCACTGTCCTCCTCCTCTTCATCACTGTCCCTCCTCCTCTTCATCACTGTCCCTCCTCCTCCTCTTCATCACTGTCCCTCCTCTTCCTCTTCATCACTGTCTCCTCCTCCTCTTCATCACTGTCTCCTCCTCTTCATCACTGTCACTGTCCTCCTCCTCTTCATCACTGTCCTCCTCTCATCACTCCTCCTCCTCTTCATCACTGTCTCCTCCTCTTCATCACCTCCTCTTCATCACTGTCCTCCTCACTGTCCCTCCTCCTCTTCATCACCCTCCTCTTCATCACTGTCCCTCCTCCTCCTCTTCATCATCACTGTCCCTCCTCCTCCTCTTCATCACTGTCCCTCCTCTTCATCACTGTCCTTCCTCTCTTCCTCTTCATCACTGTCCCTCCTCCTCCTCTTCATCACTGTCCCTCCTCCTCCTCTTCATCACTGTCCCTCCTCCTCTTCATCACTGTCCCTCCTCCTCTTCATCACTGTCCCTCCTCCTCTTCATCACTGTCTCCTCCTCCTCTTCATCACTGTCCCTCCTCTTCATCACTGTCCTCCTCCCTCCTCTTCATCACTGTCCCTCCTCCTCCTCTTCATCACTGTCCCTCCTCCTCTTCATCACTGTCCCTCCTCTTCATCACTGTCCCTCCTCTTCATCACTGTCCCTCCTCTTCATCACTGTCCTCTTCCTCCTCCTCTTCATCACTGTCCCTCCTCTTCCTCTTCCTCCTGCTCAGACTCGTGTGTTTTTGTTCCAGGCGTCGGTTCGTTTGGCTGCGGCGACACGAGTTTTTAGTTCCTGTGATGGATGTTTTTAATTTGTTAAAGTTTTATGTTTTATTTCTGAGTTTTGTGTTTCGTTTTTCAGAGTTTCCTGTTTCGTTTTTCAGAGTTTCCTGTTTCGTTTTTCAGAGTTTCCTGTTTCGTTTTTCAGAGTTTCCTGTTTCGTTTTTCAGAGTTTCCTGTTTCGTTTTTCAGAGTTTCCTGTTTCGTTTTTCAGAGTTTCCAGGTGTTTCCGGCGGCGGGTCCTCGGTGGTTCCGGCGGCGGGTTCTCGGTGGTTCCGGCGGCGGGCCTTTAGCACACCGTCCCGTTCTCGTGGCGGCTCTTGGGGCAGGTGGAGCGGGGCAGGGGCTGCACGGACGGGGCCAGGGTGCAGAAGAACCCGGAGATGAGGGTCAGGCCCAGACCGCCCCAGGCCGAGAACATGGACCAGCCGTAACCGTGGCCGATGTCGTCCGGGAGGCTGTACAGGTACCGCGGGAAACGGGACAGCTCGAAGTTGATCCCGGCCACACACGTGCACAGAGAGATGATGCAGAAGGTCCCTGAGGAGAGAGCGACGAGAGAAAGAGAATCAGAACCACAAAGTCACACGAGAAAAAGAATCAGAACCACAAAGTCACACGAGAAAAAGAATCAGAACCAAAAAGTCACACGAGAAGGAGAATAAGAACCAAAGAAAACGGCACTGGAAAATGGAAAGAAAGAGAAAAAAGAAAGAAAGAAAAAAAGAGATAGAGGGTGTGTCAGAGGTGAAAGGTCAGAGGTGAAAGGTCAGAGGTGAAAGGTCAGAGGTGAAAGGTCAGAGGTGAAAGGTGACTGTACCTCCCATGAGGAAGAGGAGTCCGGCCACGTACTGCATCAGGCCTCGGTCCCAGCAGCACCCGAGGGCCCCGACCACCCACCCAAACAAAATGATGGCCACCGCCATCCCCATGAAGCCCGCGGTCATCCTCCGAAGATCTGCAACACACACCGGGTCAGGACCGAACCAGGACCGGACCAGGACCGAACCAGGACCGAACCAAGACCGGACCAGGACCGAACCAGGACCGAACCTGGACCGAACCCAGGACCGGACCAGGACCTGGACCCTGGAGGACCGGTCTGGACCTGGACCCAGGTCTGGACCTGGAACCAGGACCCTGGAACCAGGACCGACCTGGACTGGTCAGGACCGGACCTGGAGGACCTGGAACCAGGACCGGTCGAACCTGGACCTGGGTCTGGTCTGGACCGGGTCTGGACCGGGTCTGGACTGGGTGTGGACTTACGCAGGGCGTGCCACTCGTCCTGGCGGATGGTCTTGGTGATGTTGTAGGACAGGTTCTTGGGGATCGTGGCTGAAGAATAATGATACTTTATATAAGAACAACGAGACACCAGACCTGCAACAGACGACAGGAGAGAGGGATGAGAACCACAGGAACCGAGAAAAGACGACAGGAGAGAGGGATGAGAACCACAGGAACCGAGAAAAGACGACAGGAGAGAGGGATGAGAACCACAGGAACCGAGAAAAGACGACAGGAACCGAGAAAAGACGACAGGAGCGAGTGAATGAATGAAAGAGGAGAAAGTAAAGAAAGAAACAGCACGAACAGAAGCTCCGGCTGTAAAAATATGTGTCTTTCTAAAACACTGAAAATTAAATTAATAAAATATTAAATTTTTATTCCTAACAGTTTCTATATTAAAGCAGTGAAGGTTCTATTCTCCTTCAGGATCTTCTCATCGTCTCTTTCCTCCTGACTCTTTATTTCAAAAACAGTAGAAGATGCAGATCTTCTTCTGTTCAGTGTTCGTCTGTAAACCTCAACACCGACCGACACGAGGACAGAACAGAGTCTCTGTCAGTCTGAGTTCATCATGAGTGTGTTTACAGGTTTAGTCTCTGTGACGTTACGTAAAGTTGAATGAGAATGTGTCCAAAACACAAATACTTCTGAAATACTTTCTGGGGCAGAATCTAGTTGTAGTCGTCATCGTACTTTCTTTAGTCAAACTAAACTGGAATTCTCACTGACCAAATGTGCGACTGCAACACAACAGAACCTCTGCCCACAGACAGAACCTCTGCCCACAGACAGAACCTCTGCCCACAGACAGAACCTCTGCCCACAGACAGAACCTCTGCCCACAGAACCTCTGCCCACAGACCCTCTGCCCACAGACAGAACCTCTGCCCACAGAACCTCTGCCCACAGACAGCCCACAGACCCTCTGCCCACAGACAGAACCTCTGCCCACAGACAGAACCTCTGCCCACAGACCACAGAACCTCTGCCCACAGACAGAACCTCTGCCCACAGACAGAACCTCTGCCCACAGAACCTCTGCCCACAGACAGAACCTCTGCCCACAGACCTGCTCCATCACATGTTCAGGGCTCTGCTCCACTGCACTCGTGTTTCCTCTCACACAGGACAGATTCTGCACCACAGACGACCGACCTACACACACACACACACACACACACACACACACACACACACACAGACGACTGTCCTACACACACACACACACACACACACACACACACACACACACAAGACGACCGACCTACACACACACACACACACACACACCACAGACGACTGTCCTCACACACACACACACACACACACACACCACAGACGACCGACCACACACACACACACACACCACAGACGACGACTGACCTACACACACACACACACACACACACCACAGACGACTGTCCTACACACACACACACACAGACGACCGTCCTACACACACACACACACACACACACAGACGACTGTCCTACACACACACACACACACACACCACAGACGACTGTCCTACACACACACACACACACACACACAGACGACCGTCCTACACACACACACACACACACCACAGACGACTGTCCTACACACACACACACACACCACAGACGACCGTCCTACACACACACACACACACACACACACCACAGACGACTGTCCTACACACACACACACACCACAGACGACCGTCCTACACACACACACACACACACACACACACACACACACACACACACCACAGACGACTGTCCTACACACACACACACACACACACACACACACACCACAGACGACTGTCCTACACACACACACACACACACACACACCACAGACGACTGTCCTACACACACACACCACAGACGACCGTCCTACACACACACACACACACAGACGACCGTCCTACACACACACACACACACACACACACACCACAGACGACTGTCCTACACACACACACACACACACACACACACACCACAGACGACCTGTGTCCTACACACACACACACACACACACAGACGACCGTCCTACACACACACACACACACCACAGACGACCGTCCTACACACACACACACACACACACACACACACACACACACACCACAGACGACTGTCCTACACACACACACACACACACACACACACACACACACCACAGACGACCGTCCTACACACACACACACACACACACACCACAGACGACCGTCCTACACACACACACACACACCACAGACGACCGTCCTACACACACACACACACACACACCACAGACGACTGTCCTACACACACACACACACACACACCACAGACGACCGTCCTACACACACACACACACACACACAGACGACCGTCCTACACACACACACACACACACACCACACAGACGACTGTCCTACACACACACACACACACACACCACAGACGACTGTCCTACACACACACACACACACACACACACCACAGACGACGTCCTACACACACACACACACACACACCACAGACGACCGTCCTACACACACACACACACCACAGACGACCGTCCTACACACACACACACACACACACACACACACACACACACACACACACACCACAGACGACTGTCCTACACACACACACACACACACACACACACACACACACACCACAGACGACTGTCCTACACACACACACACACACACACACACACACCACAGACGACTGTCCTACACACACACCACACTGAGAGTTCACACACATAAACACTGAAATGTTCAGTAAAACCACACAAGTACAAGTACACACAAGTACACACAAGTACAAGTACACACAAGTACAAGTACACACAAGTACACACACATACAAGTACACACAAGTACAAGTACACACAAGTACAAGTACACACAAGTACAAGTACACATACAAGTACACACAAGTACACACACATACAAGTACACACAAATACACATAAGTACAAGTACAAGTACACACAATGTCATCTGAGTTTGCACTACTAGTATATCCCTGTGTATCAGATGCCCTAAACCAAGGACTAAACCAGGACTAAACCAGGACTAAACCAGAACTAAACTAGAACTAAACCAGGACTAAACCAGGTCTTGTGTCTGGAGGGGAGCAGCAGATGGACTCTCTTCATCCGTGTGGCCTGGTTTAGACTGACCCACTTCTGATCCCCTCCTCCAAAAGATTATACTGCACACAGAACTGAACCAGGACTAAACCAGGACTGAACCAAGACTGAACCAGGACTGAACAGGACTGACTGAACCAAACTGAACCAGGACTGAACCAGGACTGAACCAGAACTGAACCAGGACTAAACCAGGACTGAACCAGGACTGAACCAGGACTGAACCAGGACTGAAACCAGGACTGAACCAGAACTGAACCACTGACTGAACCACTGAACCAGGACTGAACCAGGACTGAACACACTGAACCAGAACTGAACCAGGACTGAACCAGGACTGAACCAGGACTGAACCAGGACTGAACCAGGACTGAACCAGGACTGAACCAGACTGAACCAGAACTGAAACCAGGACTGAACCAGACTGACTGACCAGGACTGAACCAGGACTGAACCAGGACTGAACCAGGACTGAACCAAGACTGAACCAGGACTGAACCAGGACTGAACCAGACTGAACCAGGACTGAACCAGGACTAAACTGAACCAGGACTGAACCAGGACTGAACCAGGACTGAACCAGGACTGAACCAGGACTGAACCAGAACTGAACCAGAACTGAACCAGGACTAAACCAGGACTGAACCAGACTGAACCAGGACTGAACCAGGACTGAACCAAGACTGAACCAGGACTGAACCAGGACTGAACCAGGACTGAACCAGGACTAAACCAGGACTGAACCAGGACTGAACCAGGACTAAACCAGGATGAACCAAGACTGAACCAGACTGAACCAGACTGAACCAGGACTGAACCAGGACTGAACCAGGACTGAACCAGGACTAAACCAGGACTGAAACCAGACTGAACCAGGACTGAACCAGACTGAACCAGGACTGAACCAGGACTGACCAAGACTGAACCAGACTTGAACCAGACTGAACCAGAACTGAACCAGGACTAAACCAGGACTGACTGAACCAACACTGAACCAGACTGAACCAGACTGAACAGACTGAACCAGACTGAACCAGGACTGAACCAGAACTGAACCAGACTGAACCAGAACTGAACCAGGACTGAACCACTGAACCAGAACTGAACCAGGACTGAACCAGGACTAAACCAGGACTGAACCAGGACTGAACCAGGACTGAACCAGGACTGAACCAGAACTGAACTGAACCAGGACTAAACCAGGACTGAACCAGAACTGAACCAGGACTGAACCAGAACTGAACCAGAACTGAACCAGGACTAAACCAGGACTGAACCAAGACTGAACCAGGACTGAACCAGAACTGAACCAGAACTGAACCAGGACTAAACCAGGACTGAACCAGGACTGAACCAGGACTGAACCAGAACTGAACCAGAACTAAACCAGGACTAAACCAGGACTGAACCAAGACTGAACCAGGACTGAACCAGAACTGAACCAGAACTGAACCAGGACTAAACCAGGACTGAACCAAGACTGAACCAGGACTGAACCAGAACTGAACCAGAACTGAACCAGGACTAAACCAGGACTGAACCAAGACTGAACCAGGACTGAACCAGAACTGAACCAGAACTGAACCAGGACTAAACCGGACTGGAGAACCAGACTGAACCAGACTGAACCAGGACTAAACCAGGACTGAACCAGGACTGAACCAGGACTGAACCAGGACTGAACCAGAACTGAACCAGGACTGAACCAGGACTGAACCAGGACTGAACCAGGACTGAACCAACTAAACCAGGACTGAAACAGGACTGAACCAGGACTGAACCAGAACTGAACCAGAACTGACTGAACCAGAACTGAACCAGGACTGACTGAACCAGAACTGAACCAGGACTGAACCAGACTGAACCAGGACTGACTGAACCAGGACTGAACCAAGGACTGAACCAGGACTGAACCAGGACTGAACCAGAACTGAACCAGA